TTGTGCGCGCGTGTTTGTGCGCGCACGTGTGTGCGCGCGTGCGTCTTATCTGCGCGTGTGTGTGTAGGTATAATACAATACACAAGTGTCTCGAGTCTTACATCAACGATGATGTAACGTAGTATGCAAAGTCTTAGGATAGTTAGAGTTTACCTCCACGTTATGTATCGTAAAAATGGTATATGTATACACTGATGGCTCAACGTATACCAATCTCCTTGCTTACTTGACAACTCAGAATTGGGTGAAACATCAGCGATACTGACGGCAACAAACATGGTAGTATTGCGACGATCAATCAAAAATTCTGGTAGGAATATATTCAGCTCTCCCATCTTAATTGCTTCCTGCAGTTTCGCATAGACGGCAGCGTTATCGATCTCCAGTTTGGCATTGGGGTTCGCTTCTGAAAAATATTAAAAAGTACAAAATAAGTTTGGCTGAAATAACACTGAAAAATGTCACTGTCGTGAATCGATGACATTCTACTTATAGAATCTAATATATCGCATAGAAATATCTTTAGGGCAGCAAAATCAACAAAATAGAGTTCAAAATAAATTTTGAATTGTTATATTTATATATTGCATACCGTTTTACATCCATTTTCATGAATTCGCATATATATATTGATTGTTAACAAGAACGTGGTTTTTGGCCACGACTTCTCAAGAAGGAAGAGGAGGAGGAGGAGACGAAGGAGGAGGAGGAGGGAGGAAGATGAGAAAGGACGTTGAATTATTCGTTACTGTCTCGGATATCGAAAACACATGCGCGTACTTGTGTACATGGTGCATTTCTCGTCGAGATCCTGTGACGCGCTGGACTCCGGTGTCGCGGCGGTGGCAAAGTAACAGTCGACGGTCGTTGACGAGGACGTCGTTGTGCAGGCAGCCGTTGCGACGCAGTCGCCTGCCACTGCTAGACACTGCTGGGCACACAATTTTGCGCTGGCCAGGCCGTGGGCCAACGTTATACGGCCGCCGTCGAGCGTGGTTGGACCAGGTGTCATCGTGTAGTACGCTACGAGAAATGTCGATGCAATCATGCAAGAATTATTACGAGAGAGACGGAGAGAAGGACGGGATGGGTTGTTCTTCGATAGCCTTCTTGCAGGATGAATCGTTACTCGTTGCCCATCATAATTCTTGTAGATGCTGGTCGCGGGCGCGCTTGCGTACACTGTAACTTCTTCATGATATGATAAAATGCGAGCAGAACTCAACTTTAGATTTTCAACTACTGCTGAAACTCGCCGCAGTTTCGGACAGGTGGCACGTGAGCTGCCAACAAATACAAAGTACTAAAAATGGCGTAATAGGATTAGAGGTTTTAGTAAACTCACATAATAAGCTGCGGGTACGAACTCTAGCAGAACTCTTTGTATTTACTGACTCGGAAAAACTCGGAGGAGTCGTTTCTTGTCGAGTAATCGTGGTTATTTTTTCTCGTATGTCGTCGACGCTTATGCTTTATTTCAATTTATCAAGAACAGGGCGGTGGATGAGGGAGACCCGCATACCCGTGAATGGTGTGCGGGTAGCCAGACGTGGCAGAGATGAAGAATTCTTCGCGCAGAGGCGGGTACCTGGCAGTCAACGGTAGAAGAGCGCCATCTTTGACGTAGCATTTTGCGCAGGGTACAATAGGTACAATTAGCAAATTCAGGACACGTTTCGTTTTCTTGTCTACTGTTTTGATAATATGTACCTCGGAGGTTAACTCACTGTTCTAGATCCACGACAATGTGTCAAACTTTTTAACCAACTTACGCGTGTCGAGTGAAGTTTGATAGTACAGTTTTCAGGAATACAGAAGTTCGATGAAGTGACGAGGAATTTGTTTTGAATGACATTAGTGTCAATGCCAGGGGAGATGCTCCAGAATGGGTGCCGGGTAGTCCTCCTGCCCGCACCGAAGAGATCATAGCTTGCTACCAATGCTTCGCATTATCTGTATATCTTGAAGGGCAGAGGCACGGTGAGTCTATTAAATTTTATTATGTATTTATGTATTATTTGAAGCCGCTATTTACGAGTATTTGTATTTACAGTTTTTTTAGTCGTACTTTGATTATTTTATTTGATTATAATTTGAAGCACGCGTATTTACAGAGTATTTAGGTGGATGTCCGGGTTATGGATTGAATACTTGATACTGGTAGCCATTGTGTCAGAGCTATCTAATCGTTAGAATTACATTGGTACTATACTGCTTGGGCCATTGTCTGGGACGACCACCTGGTGATCGTTAAGGGAGGCCGGTTACGTAGCGTTGCAGCGATTGGAGGTGTTGTAGGGAGGAAGGGTGGCGTAGAGGGAACGAGTCGTGGTGGAGAGTGATGGTGTTGGCTAAGGTTGTAGAAATACAATTGGTAGTGTAATATGTAAAAGAATTGTCCAGACAGTATTAGTATGATGGCTGGATTTTTCGGGTGAGTCATTTAATGAAATACCAAAATAACAATGTGAACGCATTCAGCATAAAAGCGCTATAAACAACTTATAATTAATTTCCACGTTATTCGTCTTTAGCTTCCGGTTGTGTACCTGTTTGTGTCACCAGATAACAAATAAAGATTACTGATATAAGAATAATCGTAACATATGGAGAGTGTAGGTGTATTTCATGCTTGTATGTTTATCTATACAGGAGGAAAGCTGAGCGGGCGTTCATGGAGCAACAAGTTTCTGATGAGCGTTGGCTACATGGGAAGTGCCTCTAGCTTCACTGATTTCAGCATAGAGGAATGTACCATCGGGCAGTAGGTAAAATGAGATTGTGTACTAAGATCTATTACAATGGCTAATGTGATTTATTCTTTTGCATTTTGCTATATTAGATAATAAGTAATAATAATCGGCCACGTAAAAACTATTATGGCGCTCATATCGAAAACCCAAATGTAACCCGATTTTATCTTTCGCCGGCGCATATGAGGTTTTCGGTATGTGTTTCTGATTAAGTCGGCAGTAGACGCATATATTCACGGATGTTTTCTTCCTCCTCGCTCCTCCTCCTCCTCCTCCTCCTGCCTCCTCCTTCCTTCTCCCTCCTCTCCTGCTCCTCCGTCCTCCTCCTTTCTGCTTCCTCTCTCTTCCTCCTCCTCTTCCCCTCCTGGCCTCTCCTCCTCTCTCTCCTCCTCCCCTCTCCTCCTCTTCTTCCTCCTTTTCCTCCTGCCTCCTCCTCCTGTCCTCCTCTTGCCTCTTCCTTGATCTTCCTCGCCCTTCCTCTGTGCCTCTCGCTCCTCCTCCTCCTGCTCCTCCTTCTCCGTTAGGTACCACTTCGCTCTTCTTCTTCTTTCTTCTTGCCCTTCTTCTTTATTCTTCCTTCTGTCTTCGGATTGTCATCTTCTTGCTCTCCTTTTTTCCTGTCTTCTTCTTCTTCTCCTCTTCTGACTTCTTCTTGTTGCTCGTTACTTTCTTCTCTTTCTTGTTTTTTGTATGGATTCTTCTTCTTCTTTCTTTCTTCTTCTTTCTTCTGTCTTCCTTTGTCTGTCTTCTTCTTCTGTCTTCTTCTTCTTCTTCCTTCTTCTTCTTCGTGTCTTCTTCGGTGCTTCTTCTTCGTCTTCTGATGCTTCTTCTTCTTCTTCTGTCGTGGTGTACTGTGTTTTTTGTCTGTCTATTACCTTTGTTCTTCGGTTCCTCGTTTGTTAGTTATTAGACGGTGGAGTCCCATCGCGTTTGTGCCGAGCAGGATAAGGACTTCCATTCGGCATCGTCCACTACAAAGTACGCATAGCGGGAAATTGCAGACAGATCTCGGCATCTTCGAGATTGCCTCAGCGTAACAAAGGTAAATACTCGGGCGTCTTCGTTGCGTTTAGGCTAATCAATGTAATACGAGGGCTATCGACAGAGGTAAGTTATTCTAGATGTTGTAAACACGTGCGGGTCGGAAGTCGTGTATAATTTTACCACGATTGAATAACGACGGAAGGTTGACGGTCGTAACTTTGAATGCCGGTTATTATTAAACGGTTGATCATGCGCATCCACGACATGGGGGCTTGGGCGTAAGATGTGGATGTCCAGTTAATTCTAAGCGTTACAAATCGCTATTGAACCTGTTCGGTGTCAGAATGGTTGTGTGGTAAGTGGGAGTTTTAAGGGCTAGTCGGTCGCTCTAATGCAACAGCAACATATGAATTTACTTTTAATTCTTGCGTGACCTCGTCACTGCAAAAATGGTATTTTCAAGTGTCCACCATTTTGCTCGCGAGGGGATTGACTGGTCAACGAAGGCAGGTGTTCACAAACTCGCTACGTACATGTCGAATTAATAGACTCGGTCGAGGTCGCGGTAGGGTGTGTTGAAATCTAAGGTCGAACTAAAGATAATGGGTGGCAGTTTTCATGTAAGCGGCCTGGCTGGCCGCCCGAAACTGCCGACTCGGATATTCTAGCTGATTACCGATGTGTTAAAGAAGTATGTGCCCGGAAGGTAGCTTAGGCTAATTTTAAAATGTTTTCGGAGTGACGCTTTGTTGGGGTCCCATTCGATGTCCCGTCAGAGCTGTGCGTTTCTTGTCGCGCTGAAAAGAAGGTGCAAAAGGGGGGCCACTGGTCGTTTTTTTTCCCCCCACCACACACACTCATACACACGACGCACAGCGTGAGAGCGAGGGTTATCACGGGGGGAGACAAAACGCACGCACAACACACGACGAGTGGCCGCGCGGCACTCGCACAGCACACACACACACACGACACACACGTACACACACACGCATGCACACACGCATGTCACCACACGACACGAGTCGAGCGACACCTGACAGCACTACACAACACTACACGACACATCACGACACACACACACAGCGAGCAGCACACACGACACCACGAGCACACACACACACAGACACACACATACACACGACACACACACACACACAGCAACAGCACCACACACACACACACACTACGCATGCACAGGCATGCGGACGCATGCACACACGGCATGCACACACACACACAACCGTTACACACACGACATGCACCACCACACACCACACACTGACACACCACACCAACAGCACACACCCGACACACACACCACACACACACACACACACACAAGGGGCGGCGTTGGATGCAGCT